GAAAGTTGCGTTGCGTACGGGAGTAAGGTCGTTCAACTTAAAGAAAATGGGCCGTTAGACTCATCAAGGCAAGGGGAGATGGTCGTAAACAGCTTGATTGCACTAGTTGGATTTCAGCCACCGAACCACTGAAGCTTTGGAAAACTGAGGCAAGCAGGCATTGTAAACTCGGCCCTTCAAAGCTAGACTCAGACCACCTCGACGCCACAGATGGCAGAGATTGCCAAAAGCAACCCGCGCTTTGGAGAGGCGCAAAGAGACCTCATCCGTTAAACCATTAGCGCTGAGAGAGCTTTGGAAGTAAACTTTTTCACCACTTCCAATGAATGACCTAGAAGGGCAAGGTCAGGAGCAGCGCCTAGCCAGTCCTACAGGAAAACCTTGCATTTCGATGGTGCGAAGGTCACTCCAAACTGGGAGAAAGACATCTCCAACCTACACAGAACATTTTGGTCGGCCTGTGAGGAATCGCAGATTACGGCATTGTCGTCTGCATCCTCCAAATCCCGAAGTCGGTTCCCCGGAAGCAGCTCGACGCCGCTGGGTTCGCAGTTCTCTAGAGCACTTTCCAAGATTTCGTCTATAGCGAAAGTGAACATGAAGGGGGATGCTGGGCAACCCTGTTTGATGTCACTGGTGATACTAAAGGGAGGCAGAAGTCCGCTGTACACTCGCACTCGGCCAGAAGTTTGAGAGTAGATGGCTTGAAGTAAGGTGACATACTTCTCGGGCACTCCCCTTATCAGTAGACAACTCCAGAGAGCAGCTCTGTTGACTGAGTCAAACGCGGCTCGTATGTCTAAGAAGACAACGATCGTTGGCTGGTCAAATGTTTGACGGCGTTCGAGTATTTGGCGGAGTGTAAAGATGTGATCGATGCAACTCCGACCTGAGCGGAACCCAGCTTGCTCATTACGTATGCTCTGTTCGCGTATCAGGCTGAGCCTCCTTAGAAGTTGAGCTGCGAGCACCTTGGAAGCAACACAGATGAAACTAATCCCTCTGTGGTTGGCGCAGTCAGTTCAGGTACCATTTTTGAAGACGGGTACGATATCCGCTACGCTCCAATCAGATGTAATAACTTCAGTGACCCAGATCTCTTGGAGGAGAGAAGTGAACTACTGAACAAGTGATGGGTCACCATCTATGAAAAGAGCCAGAGGGAATTTATCTAGACCAGGGGCTTTGTAGCGCTTTAAAAAGCGAAGCTTGTGAGCAACCTCAGCCTCGGATGGTGGTAGAGCTTCTACACATCAGGAAGCGCGCTAGGCTCCAGAATGGGAACTCATTGGTGATGCTACCCAATTAAACTGCTGCTCAAAGTGCTCGGCCCAACGCTCGAGTCGACACTTTTGACAGTGGATTGGCTAGCCATTGGTTTCGCACAAAACTTCGCTTACAGACGGCATTTTGCCACCTGTAGATCGGATCAGGAGGAAAAACTTACGGAAATTCCCCGAGGTGGCCGCTTGTTCCATCTCAATGACCCGCTGCGTCCACCAAGCCTCGCGATCTTCCCGGAGAAGATGTTTGAGCTCAGCGTTAGTAGTCTTGCGTAGTGAATGGTATTTAACGCTAGCAAGAATTGCTCGACGGGCTTCGAGAAGTTGAAGGGATCGTGCAGAGATCCAGTGGTTGACAGGACTACTGGTGAAGCCACAGGCGAGGGTTGCAGAGTTGTACATTGCGCCGCGGATGTGTCCAGTGTGTTTCAATGTCTGTGCATGAGGCAGTATTTAGCCGTGATGTCAAGGCATCCTGAAATGCGCGGAGAACATTCGGGGCAGAAAGGTTAGCTACCTCAAGCCGTTTCTGGCGACGCTGCTGGGACCCACTAAAAGGTATGGCGACCTTGGCACACACCAGCGTGTGATGCGAAGTGAGGTAGGTACTCCATATTGGTTTACAATCCTGTATGCAGCCCCGCCAGCGATAGCTAATGGCGATGTGGTCAATATGTGTAAACGGCTGGCAACGTGGTGGGGGTCTCCAGGTAGTGCGTTGGCGTCAAGATCCCCGAAAGTTAGTGCTCGACAGAACGAGGCCGTGATCGGTGCAAAGCTGAAGTAGTCGATCACCGTTGTCAGTTCCGCGTGTGCCATGGCCGTGTTGACCACGGAGTTCACGTTCGTCAACTTCAAATCTACCGACCTGCGCGTTCAAGTCCCCGGGGAGCACCACGATGTCAGTACGGCGCCTTTTACGGAGTAAATTGGCCACTTGACCATAGAAGTCATTTTTAACTGACTTCGGGCTGCAATCTGTGGGAGCGTACGCTTCGACAATGAATAGACGGCGTCTGCTGATTTCGCGCCTAGACAGTCACACTGAAGTTTCAAGTCGGATCGCGTATGGTAGACTGTTAACAGGTATCCAGTCTAGTAGCGCGGTCTCAGCACGTGTGCTCAACGCAATCCCCACGCCAGCATAAGTAGCGGCTACGGTGGTTGAGTCTCCGGATAGGCGCAAAGTAAATGTCAGTGGAATTCGCAGACGGTGAAACTAGTCGCAGCATCGTGCTAGAGTCCTGTAAACGGGTCTCGCTGAGACACCAGACATCAATGGCCGTAGTTTCTAGAATGCGAGCAAGGGCTGCCCGTGATCCAATCTCCATCAGCGTCCGAACATTGAAGGCTGCCAGCTTGAATTGGGAACGGGGCGTTAGAAATGGCTTTTCAACACGACTTGGCGCATCTTTGAATCAAAGCTCCTGATCCGTATGGCGAGAACGTTCGCCCAAGGTGGTACGATGTTGTGAACTTGAAAAAGGGAGGGGGAAAACCAAGAATGGGGCTGAACAAACGTGGAATAAAGTGAATAAACGGTGGTGCGGTAAAAGATGGTTTGGCAGGTTCAGCCGAAGCACCTGGGCCGATGAGAGCAGATAGAGCGAAGAATTGTTAAGACATGGATCCATAGGTTGTGTGAGCATAGTTCTTCCCGGTTTCCCAGGCCGAGGAAGAGGGTTGACTTAGGGGACCCCACCTGGAGCCTTGGGTCATAAAGACCCAACCCGCAAGGCAGCGGGCCGATTGACGTATACCACGACCGTTGGGAGCCGGCTCTCTAAGTGAACGGCTTTCGAGTAGTGGCAAACTACTCAGGGCATCCAAAGAGCCCCAGTGAAGCAGCAAGAACTACCGAGCTCGCCGCGAAGCACGAACGCCGTTGACAGCCGGGTGGCTCGCACGCCTTTATAGAAGTCGGTGGCCATCGAGATTGTTCATCCGCCCTCTGTGAAGTACTCAATTCCGTGACCAGAAGTGAGTGGTCAGTGACCCTATAGCCGATCACACTGGCTTTGACACAGTGTCTTGCGAGCTCATGTGGTATTTGATGAGGAACCAGGTGACCAGCCCAGAATCCCCTACGCTGTAGGACGCTGACGCTGATTGTCCGCGACTACTTATTCATCTCGTCTGTGAACAGCCCAGACTTATTCACAGTTACCTTCACAAGGAACGCGTTCCCCGATATGCAACCTGGGAACGAACCCGGTGGCGTACAGCTCCGCCGAAGCAACCAGTACTCAGTACCTGTGCCCCCAAACTCCACTCTATCTTTCATCAAAAACGCATCCAGTTCGCCTTCCGAACGCACCACTCTGAACCCATGTTTCGCGGGATTTCGGCCTACACCGAATGGAAGGAAATGGTGCAAGCAGCTTAGAGGTTGTGGGCTAGATGGAGAAATGCGGGCTAACATGCTTACCAGACTTCCTGTGCTGACTTCGTCGTTCGATTTGGGCTTGATAGCCACAAGTTGGTAAGTACCATTGGTGTTGTCTAAGGCGACCCATTCAAGGGACTGATAAAAAGTGGTCGTCTTGGACAGGTGGTCACCATCGACAGGTTTATGCTAAGGGACATTACTCATGGGATAAAACGCTGGGAATGTTTTTGGCTGGTTGCCATAGGCAGGTGAACGCATTGGACAGGTGGCCACTATAACAGGTTGGACTGTACTACTGAAACCTGGCAAGGTATCAAAAGCGATCAGTATGGAAAAAACAAGATTACGTTCAGAAAAGGCAAGCAATTCTTACGGATACTAGCCGCTTCGTTCGTGATGTAACAGGTTCCGATAGAGCCGAACAAGGTAGAAAGTCCATAGTTCGCGAACTGAAAAAACTACAGGAAAACAGATTGGTTGACGAGAAAAGTATGACAGCGCTGCCCTCAAGCGGAGCTCGATTTCCTCATGTGTAGGGTTCGCCGAAGACTCATAAGTAAGAAATTTCCAGCACACCTTGGTAAAAGTAGCAACGATGGCTAGACAAGTTGATGGAACCGTTCCGGTGTGAAGTAGCCGGGTACATCCTCAACGACACCCACCAAATATGGGGTTTAAATATAGATTGGAAACACATGGTCTCTTTTAACATACGCTCACTGTTTATGAAAGTCCCATTGGAAGAGAAGTTAGACATCATCAGTGCTCATGCTGACAAAAAGGGGTTTCCAGTGTATCACAAGTCTTTACTCCGCTTGTGCACAAATGCCATTCAGTTCCAATTCAAAGGAGCAATGCACCATCAGATCGATGGCATTGTCATTGTCTATCCTGACTGATACTTTCATGGGCCACTTGAAGCATATGAAACTACGTCCTTACCTAAAGAATGTGCAATTGTAAAGTTGATACTTTAACGACACCGTTGTGATTGATACCATTCAGCAGTCAAAGCCTCTACTTGGTGTTTCAAATAAACGCTACCGTGCGATCAACTTTATAGTAGAAAGTGAAATGGACAACACCTACTACTTAGTTGAAGTGAATCTAAGGAGGAATCTAGACAGCACACACACCCGACCTGTGCATCGCAATCCCAATTGCGGAATACAATAATTCAACTTCAACGGCTTCTGCCCTATGAGGTACAAACTGGCATCGGCGCACTATGCCGCCTTCGCTATAGATCGCAAAATCTATCCTGCAGATACAATAACAAACTGAACACACAAGTAAAAAACCGGCAGTGCAGATGAACCGATACGTACAGTCGAATACAGTGACTTGAACCGACCTTCTTTAAGTCTCCTGATAGGTAATCGCGCCAGAATGACTCCAGTTGTGAGAGTTGAGTGAACCGAAGGTAGCAAATAAACTCCCCAGGGAACCGTGAGTTGAGTACATTTGAAACCTGCATGAAACGATGAATCTGCTGCTCGAAAAACTCCTGCCTGTCCGTTTGTATCTGGCGCTAAGTTAACAGATGGGTAAAAGAGATATGACAGTAAACTACAACATTATCGGGTCGATTACATGTGAAAATAAAATTACATGATTAGTGTGAAATCCGTGAGGGATAGGCACAGTGTAGTGAGGTGTGAGGACATGTGAAATGATATATATATATATATATATATATATATATATATATATATATATATCAGCAGCTGCTCAAATAGGAGGTAAATCATTAAAGTGCATCAAGCATATCAGCTCGTTCACTTCACGATGTACTGATACAACTGGTAGAGGGATAACATCAATATGTCAGTGATACTCGCTCGGATGCTGCCAGAACTTAAAAAAGACTCACCAATGCCTCTGATGGGGGTCCACAATCGACAAGCACTCGTAATTTCAGGTTGCAGTAGTAACGAATAAGTGAATCTCGTGGAGAAGCAGTTAGGCCGATCCCACCTGATGACATGACAACTTGCTTCACGTGTACCCGCCCGTTGGCTGGCTGGTGGGTTGGAACTCTTGCGTCACCCAGATTGAGCTGGGCAATAAACGGAGCCGCATTTCCCCGGTCGCCAACTGGAGGTCGAGGTTGGGGATTTGCAAGCAGAGGAAACAAGATGGCGCCTCCGGGTGGTCGGTTGCTAATCCACATTTGTCCGGGAGCAACAGGAACAGCAGAGGAACGGAGTGTGTTATCTACACGGGGAGCGATGCTGGCCATCGGAATCGGCTGCTGTTCGAAAGACGACTGGCCCATGATAGGTGAAGGTGATGGATTCAAACTGGCCGGGACGGAAAGTGGGGGGACGGCGAGCGGATTAAGACCAGCAACCATTAAGAGGTGCGGAACTGCAGCCAGCAGGCGGGAGTGGGAAAAGATTGGTTTAAATGGATCATTGTCGGTGTCTGAGCCACGCAGTGAGCAGGATGGCGATCTATCCAAAGTCATGCGTAAAGCGGTGAGTATACTCAATAGGGACGTAGATATCATTGTGTGAATAACTGGTCCGTTTAATGCACTGGCCACGAGAGCGGATCGAGCTTTAGTACGGTACTGAACTGTAGACTTGTCTTGCTGGTCGCTGGTATGTGGTGCCGCCACTCCATTGGAGTGGCGAATACGCTTCGCCACTGTGGAATACTGCGCGTGATCTGAAATAGTCTTCCGCTTAGAACTAGACCTATCAAAATGTAAGCACAAATTCAGATAGAGTGGAGTATACTGACGAGATGGTGCATCAAGATAGCTGCGGTTAAACGCTACGAAGAAATTACCTAAGCGATAGGGCGCAAACAAATGGGTGGCGACAACAGCTTCTGTGGCACAGGTGGCCCCATATATCAGAGAATTTATAAATAAGGTAGAAATCAGAAAGTTTTCTCTACTCGCTCGATCACGTATTGCAGATGCCAGCCTATCGCTTTTGCCATCGAGCATTATCTGCGCTTCCCAGAAGCGCCGATGTTGACAACCAGTGATATGTGGAGGAGCATGGAGACAATCTCAAGATTAGTATCAACAGGACCGGTCCGCCTTCCAACAAAGGGGGCCACGCGACTCTACCTCTCAGTGGTACAAAATGTTGGATCTCACAGCCGCAGCAGATACCAGTAACACCAGTGTTGCTCTACCGCATCATCAATTTATAAATCTCTAATCAAACTCACGAAAACGCAAGACACAAGCAACCAATAAGTAATCAGCACGTAGCCCTATCAGGCACATTTAGTACATAATCGACATCACGTAATGTTTGAGTCTGATGATAATAAGCGAAAAAATGCTTTACTGTGAATCTGCCTCTCTTTGATTTATTCTATTAAATTGGAATTTGTGGACGGCTGAAGATTACTAGTAGTAGCAGCAGTATTAGTAGTATAGTAGCAGTCTATTAAATAGCCAAACATAACCACGGAAATGAATAAAAATACAGGTTTAACAACGCATCAGCATCATGGCACATTAACTGAAGGTGAGCAACACACTTGAGTTATAGTGCGGCAATAAAAGAAAAAAACGGTATTTTTGTCGTTTTCAATCGTTAAGCATTCAAATCTAAACAATTATGTGCACAGATCCTACACTGGTCTCGATTACGAGCCATGTCTTGAATTGTTTCCAGCCATCGGCACTCCTCGTCCTTTGGTCCCCAACCAGGTAGACGTGTGGATCCAACGAAGGGAAGACGCGAAGTCCACGATTTCATTTGCTGTCGCCAGGTGGACGGCTGACCACCGCGTAGTCTCTTCTAGTTGAGTCCTGCATTAGCAAACAGAGCGTGATAGGGCAAACGCTCAGCTGACATACACAAAACGTGACCGAACCATCTTAACAGGTGCAGCAAAACCAGCTTACCGTAGGGAATACTCACATTCCCGAAGACACAGCGTCTGACTTCACTATAGCAGATTTGTTGTTACCACCACACACGAGCAATCCTCCTTAAGCACTCGTTGTCGAAGGCCGAAAGCCAGTGCATGTCATCCACGCGAACTGGTCAAGACTCACTTCCATATAGTGACACCGTCCGAACGGTGGTATTGTAAACACGACCCTTGATCAAGGGGAAGACATCCCGACGATGCCATAAGTGCTGCAGGTTGACAAACGCCGACCGATCTTTGGCGATGTGAAGAGAAACTTCACTTCCAATTGTACTACTAGCAGACAGCTGCCCAGGTAGACAAAGCTATCCACTTGTTCAAGCTGTGTACCTTCAAGAATGAGCACCGGAACGGCTGAACGCCAATTTTAAAGCAGCACTTTACACTTTCACGGGGCAAAGCACATTCCGTACCTAGATGCCTGAATGGCCAAAGGGTCTAGAATGGTTTGCATGTTCTGTGAGTTGTCAGCAAGTAAGGCGATATTATCGGCATAATCTAAGTCGGTCGTTCGCTCGCTTACCCGGTAGTAGCTGTAGACCAAACTTTTGTAACCATTTCGAGCTCTCGACAGGACGTCTTCAATCGCAAAGTTGAGGAGGAACGAGGACATAGGGCAGCCCTGTCGTACACCGCTATTCACAGCGGACGATGAAAGCCTGCCATACACCCTCACTCTGCCAGAGATTTGAACACAGTGTGCGTAGGATGGCAGCGTAATATTCTGGGACACCGTTCCTTAGCAAACAACGCCATGGTGCAGGTCAATCAACCGAGTCGAATGCGGCAGAGATGTTCCGGAATGTAACAATGACAGGCCTTTGGTAAATGTGGCGGTGTTCCAGGATTTGACGGTGTGAATGCCTGGTCCACACACTCGCGGCCAGGTCGGAAGCCAGCTTGTTCTTCTCAGTACTGCGATTCGCGGATAAGACATAGTGTACGGAGTAGAATGAAAGCCAACAGCTTGGAGGCAACTAAAATGAGACTAATCCCACGGTAATCGGTACAAGCGGGATAATAACTGACTCGCCCAAGAAAGAACACATGCCCGTGATTCAGTCAAACACGAAAACATCAAAGTAGTGTGCGCAAAACCCAAAAAGACTTTAGTTTGCTATTCAATTGCAGTGCTTCGATGATACATCGTCTGTAACCAGATTATATATATATATATATATATATATATATATATATATATATCCTTGCCCTACCACTGTACAAGGGTAAAGGGAGCAAGCAATGTTGCACGAATTATCGTGACATCAACTTGATGAGTTGTGTGGGCAAGGTGATTGCCCGAATCCTGCTCAACCGCCTCGTCAGTCAGGTTGTGGAACCGAACGTGGCGGAAGTGCAGTGTGGAATCCGTTCGGGTTGCAGAACCATAGATATGGTGTTTGCGGCACGTCAGTTGCAGGAGAAGTGCAGAAAACGACACCAGCAGTTGTACTCGCTTTTTGTTGATTTCACCAAAGCATTTGATACGGTGAAACGCGAGGCATTGTGGATGGTGTTGGGTAAGTTTGGTTGCCCGCGTAAGTTTGTAACTTTAACTGAATGTCTGCACAGTGGTATGCAAGCGAGGGTGCTGCTGAGTGGAGAGACCTGGGATGACTTTGCAGTTGTCTCTGGTATGAAGCAAGACTGTGTCTTAGCTCCTGTCCTGTTTAATATATATCTTCATGCAAGGATGTCTTGTGCTTTTGATGCCGCTTGTACTTACGGTGTTCGAGTGGAACACCGTATTGATGGTGGGTTGTTGAACATCCGTCGTTGCGGTGCGAGAACCCTAGTCTGTGAGACAACTATCCGTATGTGGTTGTTTGCTGACGACTGTGCATTGTTTGCACACAGCGCGGATGAGTTGCAGCACAAGACTAGTGCTCTGGCTTCGACAGCGACCAAATTCGGGTTAACCATCAACACAAGCAAAACTGTCTGTCTCTTTCAGCCTTCACCGGAGGTGCAATCTACAATGGTGTCGCGAATCAGCATTGGTGCTGAAGTATTGGAAATCACCTCCCGCTTCTGCTACCTTTGGAGTGTGATGTTGACTGATCAGCAGCTACACAGTGAGCTGCGTATCCGCGTCTCAAAGGCAGCGGCGCATTCGGGAAGCTAGAGTACCGAGTGTGGAACAACCATCAGCTTACCATTAGCACGAAGCTAATGTTGTACAAATCCATGGTGCTGTCCGTTCTTCTGTACGGCAGTGAAACGTGGACGATGTACCGACGGGATGTGCGATATCTCGAGCGGTTCAAGCAACAGTGTTTGCGGCGGATTCTGCGCGTCGCTTGGTACGACAGAGTTGCGGACACGGAAGTGTCGCATTGAAATGGAATGTATGCAGTAGACTGCATAATTTAGCTGAGACACCTGAGGTGGTCAAGTGAGCCGTACGGATTCGAATCGGATACCGAAACAACTATTATCTAGTCAGCTGAGTATTGGGAAGCTGCATGTGGGGAAACCAAAGTTACGTTGTCAGAACATGATCAAAGTGAGCCTCTCATGTTCTAATCTTGATTGCAGGTCTTAGGAATCGAAGGCGGTTGATCGGCGTGCATGACGCGATCTGATCACGAAGGCAGTTGCCGAAGTGCGGGAGAAAGACCGCATGCATGCAGAGAAGCCGTAAGTGCGGAAGCGGCATTCGCCGATGGGTTGTACTCCATCGACATCGAGCGCATGGTGCTGTAGCACATGCGGTCGCGAGTGCCTGAGTCAGGTAGGTCTAGTGAGCCATGAGCGGGGCCACTCGGGACCACTACCGAAGCGAAGACGGGTCCTGCAGAGAACGTAGACAGAACCGGCGCAGCGTTCGTAGGTACGCTACATTCGATTTACTAACCGTACACTTGCATGCTAACTCCCCTTATTTCAGGTGGTGGGTTTTCAATTTTATCCCAATGCTTTTCTCTCGCATATAAATGTCTACCTGTACTCTCTTCCATAAACTTTCACATGTTGCTGAAGCTAATTGTAGTTAATTTCGATAAAATTTAGCGTTTGTGGCATTTCCATAAAACATGTTTTCTGGTCTCTTGAACTTAATGCGGATTCGTGCGTAATCACTTTTTATACGCTCATTTAGTGAAAAGTTGTCTCCGTATCTATATTCATTATTCGATTTATTTTATTATACCCTATCGTTTCAAGTTAATGGCTGTTGTTTGACATCTAGGGTGTGGCTGCGCTTGATGTGCATGTTGACAAGGTGCCTACCTGCCTATTACCCACTACCTCGTCCATACTGGCTCCAGGAGACAGTTGGTCGTTGCTGGTCGCGTTAGGCTCAAAGAGTGGTTCCATGCACTCAGTGTGGAGCGGACTATGGTTCAACCACCGCCTTGTGTGCGCTTGATTCCCAAATTCAGCGTGCCTGTGTTTGCCTGTGAAGGAGTGTGGACCGGCTCCGTTGATGAAACGTGGCTCCAATCCACATGCCTTCCGGTCTTATTCCTTAGGGTTTACACTGGATATGGGGTGTGTGGTTGGAGCTGTGGGTGGTGCAGCGCAAGGCATCCATGATCCCTCTGTAGGCGCAGGCGTCCTGTCGCTGGCCACAGTGACAGGCGAATCCGAAACCGGATGCAGTCAACCATTATATATATATATATATATATATATATACTTGAAAACCAAACGGAAAACATTGTCTTCGTGTCCGGCCTCCAAATAGCATAGGGCTGAGGAATGCGAACCCGATTACTTGGCAAGCCTGAACAAGATAACGACTAGCCGCCGAGGAATACGACAATCAAAACACAGTACAGTGCCAAGACAAAAG